GCAGCGGCGGGGCCTGCGCCGTGAAGGTCAGCCGCAGCCGCTTATGTCTGACCTCTTCGGGGGGGGGCGGATCAGGCCCGACAGCCGCCTGTTCAGCGAGGGGGGGCAGGGCCCGTCGCGTCTTGCTCCGAGAGGTTCGGTTCTGGGGTGTCTGAAGTAACGCACCTTCAAAAAGGCGTTCTGTGGGCTTTGAGTTCGGCTGTTGGGTTTTGGTTTTTTTTTTTAATTCAGATTCAGTAACTTGTATAAAGGGGCCCGGCTTATAAATGCTATACCTGGCAAATCCTTGTCTTCGAGCGTGGTTAATATGCTTATATGCCATATGCGATCCTTAATTTTCAAGTTTTGAGAACTTTACGCTTCATATAACAAAAGTGGTTGTAGAAGAAGTGGCACTAAACTACTTGCATTTAAGTACTGCTCCGTCTTTTAAAAAAAATTCTTTTATGTTAAGCATTAAATAAACACTTGAGCGGCTAGATCCTTCTTCTAGAAAAATTCCATGGTAATCTGCTTTCAGACTTCTAAATGGATTTCATCATCGCGGCTCACAAAATGTGGGCTCTCTGGATCTGAGCGACTCTCCCAGTCCTAATTATGTACCCAGCTCAGAGTTATTTTGTTCCTTCCAAAAGCTATAGTAATCCAAAGCCTGCGTGAAATCACGCTGTCTCAATTGGTCTGCAAAGGACTTCTCACTCTTTGAGGATACTGTGGTCTGAGGCAGGTCCAGCTTGTGCAGCTTGCACTTTTCATGTCTATATTTGGAATTTTTACTGGTGTAGCTTCAGTGGTTGTTGAAAGCTAAATCCCAGCTGTGTGTTTAATCTGTGATTTTGATTAAAATTAGCAACTCCTTAACAACGGAGAAGAAAAAGCAGCTTATTGCAGGAGATTTGGAAAATAAATACCCTTGAAAAGCAGTTTTCTGTTCACTCATCATTAATTTTTGTGCATTTTACAGTAGGTGACATAGCACGCATTTTGTCTCTGGTGCAAATAAACAAATGAGTGTAAAAAAAACTTTTCCTGAGAGCATAACCTAAAGTATACAATAATTTAGTTTAGAAGGGACTTCCTGGAAGCCATCTAGTCCAGCTTTCTGCTCGGATCAGGTGCCACTCAAAACTGAATGAGGTTGCTGAGCGCCTTTTCCAGTTGGGTTCCAAAATTTTCTGACGATGGAGACTCCTCAGTCTCCCAGTGCAACTGTTCCAACACAGAAACACAGGCACTGGGAAAATGTTTCCCCTTAGATCCAGCTGCAGTTTTTCCTCTTGCATTTTGTAGTTGTCTCTTGTCCTTTCACTGTGCTCCTCTGAGGGGAAACTGTGGCTGTCTTCTGTGTAATAACCCTCTAGATAGGGAAGGACAGCACTTCGATCCCCTCCCCTTAGACCTTCCCCACCTAGTCCCTCTGCCCCACTCACCCTGGTCTAAGCAAACCCAACTCCCTCAGCTTCTCCTGCACTATGGGCAGGGTAGTCTGCCTTAGACCTTACCCATTTTCTGTATGTCTCTCTTCTACTGGGGTGTCCACAACTGGACACAGTATGTCTGATGTGACCTCATGATCACAGAATAGAGGGGATTTACCACTGCAATTAGCCATGCTCATCACAGCATGCTGCTGAGCTTCACGCGTGCCCGCTTCTTCTAAGAGTGTACCTTGGGTATTGTAACAGCCTTAGTTGATGTCTCCTGTTATCTCAAATGTATGGGGTTTTTTCTTTTTTTTTTTTAGAGTTCTTGCTCTGAAATGGACATTTTCCAAGCAATTAGTCTGGATACAACAGTCAATCTCATTGATGTGAATAAAGCACAGTTACAGAAAAATTTACACTTTACTAGCGTGGTCCAAAGTATCTTTTATCAGTGTCAAGCTTTTCAGTTTTTTTTTCTGTCTGTTACCTGAAAATTTAATCTTATTTTTAGACTAGCCAAGGAAAAGAGGGCTATCTTTGAGCAAGATTTGCTGATTCGGGGAGTTTGTCTCTTTTGTATATACCAAAAACGGAGCAAAAAGTCTTTAGAACAGTGTGTGTGTGTGTGTGATTTAAAGGATTTAAAAAAATCCATAAATGCCATTTGTCTAAGAACTGTACTGGCAACAAAGCCGATTTGTGGCGCCTAACACCCACTTTAGTAGCCAGACAACCCAGTTGTCTGGCCTAGTTAAGCCTCCAGCAGCCTGTCTGTCTCAAAATTCTTTCTTCTAAGCTACAGTTTAGAAATAAAGTGTTTTCAGGAGTAGTATCATTTCAACTGCTAATCTAGTTTGTAACCTCAAGTATTCTTTTTAACTGGTATTTTTTCTACCGTCTTTTTTTGTTGTTGTTATTTATTAACTGAAACACCTGTGCTGATTTTATTTTGGGTGGGGGGGTGGAGGTATCATTCAGCTTTCACAAAGGAATTGTCTATTTCAAGTGTTACTTTAAGCTGGGAGGACAAGCTGGGAAAAGATTGAATAGGGAAAGTAATGATCTGTGCAATTATGGGGAGTTTCTTATTGGTGGAAAACGTTGTCTACAGTGGTATCTTCCCAGTAGAAATCAATTACACTTAAATTCTTTCTTCTTATATAGGAGTGAGCTTTCAGTAGACAAAACTAAAAAGAAGAAAAGAAGAGAACTGACTGAGGAACAGAAGCAAGAAATTAAAGATGCCTTTGAGTTGTTTGATACAGACAAAGATAGAGCAATAAATTATCATGAATTAAAGGTAAAAGTTTTTTCATGTAAACGATTTTATGGTAGATAATATATATATGTTTCTTAGTAAGTTTCTTAAGTGGGGGGTGGGTGGGAAGGAAATACTGGATTTGTGTAAGAATGAGCTTTTCTTCCCACACTGTGTTCTTGACACAGTAACAGAATTGCTGTAGCATCCTGCATAACACTGGTCTGAATGCTCCCCAGGGTTTAGCTTGGGCAGATGACTAAGGGGGAAAAGCTCTTGAAAAGCTGTTTGGTTCTTTTTAAAGGCACTATATCATCTAAAACTTGATGTTGTGAAAATCCACAGGTTTCAGAGGCTTAGGTAAAAGATGTAAATCAAATTTGTAAAACAGTTGACTGTGAGCCAGAGCTTACCCCCACGTGGATTTTTCAACAGGGAGCCTATGGATTGTAGGAATGAGGTATGCTATTTGCTGTGCGTATGGGAGGCTCAGTAGTTTTCCTTCCCAACAAAGGCTTCTCCTGTTGATAGCTATCGGCAAATGGAGGGTAGGATGGCAGTCTTTCCTAGTGAGTGCTCCTGGCTGGAAGTCTCTAGAAGTAGTACATGAAGTTCATTAAAGTCTCTTTAAATCTTTTATTAATTTTTATTCTAATTATACTGCATAAAGAACCAAAGGTGGCTCTGGAGAGGCCAGTGTTTCTGTCATGTATAGGGTGAGATTCTTTTGGGAAGGAATACCTAATCCAGCCTGCCGGCTCCATATTCTGGCTCTACCAAGTAACCCAAAAAGGGGGGGGAGGGGAAAAAGTATCATTTTTACTTTAATTGCTGTTACAGGAATGTCTTAGGTATAGCGATTCCCTTCTCTTTATTTCAGAGTTCAGGTATTTTATCTTTGCTGGAAGCCACAGTGAGTGGGGTAGTACTGGGGACTGTTTCGGGACTGTTAATACAGTTTTTCCAGTTACGGTATGCTTTGAATTACCAGCTGTCATGATTACTTGCAAAGCTGTTTCTTAGCTGTATAATTAAATATTGTGGCCCTGAAGATAATATTGTGGAAGAATAAAATACATAAAGACAAGAACTATCTCCTTCTCTACAAAATCAGCATCTAGCATAGATTTTTGAATGGCTACATCCAATAGGATTGTGGTTTTCCACTTCTGGTTTAGTGTATCTTCATCAGTTTGGAGGAAGTCAAGGTAGTGTGTGCTGAGAAATTGCCATCTCAGTTGAAATGGGAAACTAAATGTTTCTAATAACTCCTAACCTAATGCAAAAATAAAAAATAGGTTGGTTTATGTTGTTCACTGGAAAAGCAGTAAAGTCACTTGCAAGAGGACTTGTAAACCCATGAACATATACACACTTAGTTGAATATTGAAGAAGAATAATTTGAAGAATGATTTTCAGCTTTATCTTTGAAAAAGGGTCAGTACTTGAAATGTTTGTGGAAGTGAGGAAAATAAATCTATTTGTCCTAAGAAGCATTTGGTACAGTCTGTAAAATCCCTGAAAAGGCAAAGGCTAGTTTTTTCGCTGTAACTTGATGTTCCATTTGCTAATAGTCGTTTCAGTCGATTTTTATGTCCAAAGTTTTTTCCTTTTATTAATTTTATTTATTATTGTTGCTAAACCACTGATACACACCTCCTCTCTTGTGCAAGAAGGTAGTTACTGAAAAGAAAAAGAAATCTGTTAAATCCGTATTTTAATCTTCATATATGGTTGCACTTCCATTTTATTCCAAAAGGTGGCAATGAGAGCCTTGGGTTTTGATGTGAAAAAAGCTGATGTACTGAAAATACTTAAAGATTATGATCGAGAAGCGACAGGCAAGATCACCTTTGAAGATTTTAATGAAGTTGGTATGTGTTTGATTGTATATCTTTAAAGAAGTTTAGCCTATAGTAGTGACTACAATTTGGAAGCAGTACTTTGTGTACTTTTTCAGTTATCTAGTACTATTAAGAAATAGAAGTGGGAGATTTCATTTCACGTTTTTCTTAATAAAAGTCAGTAGTGGAGGAAGATAAATCTTTGTATCCTGAATACTGAGTTTGGTATGTAGAGATGAATGATAGCCATAGTATAAAAGGAAATAGAGTATACACAGTCCTAATCTTTTTCAAACTTACACAAAGGAATAAATGCTAACTTAAAATGTAGATATTCTTGTGTTGTTTATGGATTTTGTAAGATTCTCCTTCCTGCTGTGGAAAAAGTATTTGGCATTGAACTTCATGGGAAGGAGTGTATACACAGACAATCTGTAAACTGAATACAGACTTCATATATAACAAAGATAAGAGAAATTGAAGGAGATGTTAAATATTGTACTTCAAGGATTTTCAACTGTTGATAAAAACAGTGGAATTTCATTAAGCTGTTTCTTTCATCTGGAGATTGTGTGTTGCGCAGTTTGATATACTTTGAGTATGTAGTGATCTGCAGAATTTTTAAAGATTAAGAGTTTAAGTTTCTTTGAAGATTTTTTGGTTGTTACACATAATTTATACGTTTGCATACAATTTGTGTTTACCAAAAAAATAAGCTATGTGGGATTTCTCCATATATGGCTTTATATCTCTACTTCATTATTCCACTCCATGCTTTCAAGGTATTAGATTTCTGTAAATTTTCTGGGAAAAAAACCCAGTGTAGTACATGTGTATTTGCTCTTGGCTACATATAACAATCTACTTGATGTAGCAAAACGGTTATTGATTTGAAACGTGGCAAATTTTAACAATTTAACAGGCTAGGATTGGAGAAAATGTGTTGTTAATGACAGATAATGTTTTTGTAGTTGTATTCCAGGTTAAAGCAAATTATAAGTCAGAAAAGAACCAAAAATAAAGCCTATGGGGAAATACACGTGATCGGTCCTGATTTAATTTAAAAAAAAAAAAAAAAAAAGTGGGAGTATTGATTTAATAGCAATAATAATATTATAATTGCATCATTATGTATAATGTTATAACTGAATAAACTGTAATTGCTGTGTAATTTTTTTCTTAATTCCTGATGTTCAGTGCTGTCATTGTTCATTGTTTCCTGGTTCTGTCCTGGCTATCAATATGGGTAGTAAAGAAGTGCTGTGAGAAGCTAGGAAAATTCTTGTAGAAAGTACAATATATACTTGGAAGGTGATTGAACCTGTCCTAAAACTTGAATTGGATTTGAGTGCTGCTATGACACAATATGACCTTGACAGAGAATTAAACATAATACCACTTCTAGCAGAAAGATCAGGGAGTTAGAGAAAATAGGTTAAAGAAGCTTTAAGTGTGAAGAGCTGCTGAATGTAGCTAAGCAGTTCTTGAGCCATAAGCCATTCTTTTTTATAATTTAATGTTATTTATGGTTTTAAATGTAGGAATGGCCCATCTGAAATGTACAAAGATGCAATTACATTTTGTCTTGTTTTGTACAATCATGTTACCTATAGTATTTAGAGACCTAGTGTTTTATTGTTCTTCAGCTAACATGGCAGTTGTCTTTTGCCACAAAAGGCAGAATTTTTTAAATGATGTAATACTGTCATGCAGCGTAGTTGTTTTAAATGAAAATATTTAAATTTAGTGTAAATGTGAGGGATTTATGTAGGCATATAAACTTCATTGCTGTAGTGAACTTATATGAGCTTGAATCTAATTTTTTCCTGTCAAGTTCACTAAGCCAGAGCAGGCGTTCCATCTGCAGACAGTAGCAGATGCTAAGTGGTTCTCTATGCACAAATGGGGTTGATGTGTTTTTAATGGCTTGATGAAAGTCATAAATAGCAAGCCCTGTAATACAAGACTAGCAGGTACAACGATGTGAAGATATTTACGGTTGGTTCCAGAAATGTCTGAAATAATTACTAGAAAAATATTTTATGTGGCAAGTTTGTCTTTTCTGTTACAGAAACTGACAAATGGTTGCGATAAAAGGAATAATAAAGACTGATAAATCCTTTCAGAATTAACATCTTGCAGTTCATAGCAGTGTCCTTTTCATAACCCCTGGGCTTAGGTGTTTCGCGTTTTTTGTTAGTGTGGTTTTGTGTCTAAAAGAGAGGTTCCATGTGAATGTTTTTCATTACTTAGTGTTTCAGTGTTCTCTCTAAGTCAAAATTCTACCCTGATCAAAACATATAAAATAAAAAAATTCACATCTTCTCTGTCAGAGCTGATTTTTTTTTTTCTGAAAGGTAAGTTTGGAACAGAGGAGGCATGTGTATACTTTTAATTCCTATTGAAAAGTGTGTTGAAAGCATGACTGTGTCTAAATTGCCATGTAGCTTTCCACTGCAACATGTCTGTCCCAAAGAGAAATTCAGTCTGGAGGAAGAGAGATGAGAAAGAGAGCTCAGATAGCAGCCAAACAAATAGGCATGTTGAATTGAAATATACAAAAATGAAAGAACGGATGAAATCAGAAGTGTATGTTCTTCTTATTGCCTCAATCTGCTAAGGTCATTCTGCGTTCACCCTTCAGAATTTTTTAGTCTAACTTAAATATCCTTCTTACAGTGACAGACTGGATATTGGACAGAGACCCACAAGAAGAAATACTCAAGGCATTCAAATTGTTTGATGATGATGACTCTGGTAAAATAAGTCTGAGAAATCTGCGCCGGGTTGCTAGAGAATTGGGTGAAAATATGTCTGATGAAGAACTACGGGCTATGATTGAAGAATTTGATAAGGATGGAGATGGAGAAAGTATGTGTTAGCAAACAAAAACCCATGTAGTCTGTTCTTAATTTTCTCCCCTTTTTAAATGTGGTTTTGTCGTGAAAATGTCCTCTTTGGTTTCCTTCTAAAAAGAACTTTCAGCTCAAACTTCATTTAGCTTACAAATAATGGAAATTGTTGTTTTTGACAGCTATTAGTCCTGGAACCGTGTCTTGGAATCTAAAAATCAAGTTGATTTCTCAAGTTGATTGACCACTAACTCTTACTCAACCAATGTCTAGTAAAAGGTTGGCAAAAGTGTAGTTGAAGGTGGAAGTAATTGAACTGGTGCATGGGAGATTCTATGTACCTAAATTACATTTTTATTTCCTTATAATTCAGTGAAAGGATTAAAGTGCTAGGAGAAACTCTTTTGATCACCTAGTCAATATTTCTTAAGTGATGATGTGTCACTGTTGTCATTTCAGCACGTTAGTCAGATATGGAGTATTAAGCTAATAAATCATGCTGGATGCACCCTGGGTCTATTGCAGGATTGGCTTGGATGGGTCTTTAATGTACTTCTGAGCCTCTGAGTGCTGAAGAGCATAGTGTGAAAAATGGCTCTGGGCAATTGACAAGGTCCATGCAGAGTGGGCTGCAGAAGGGATTTGTGAGCTCGATAAAGAATGAATTAAGAAATCCACTTTGATACTATGCTTATTAAATCTTCGTGAACACGGAAAGTAAGGTTTCTTTCATTAACTTTAGGTAAGCCTTATGTTTACACCAGAAACCTTAATACCTGAATTTCGGGGACCACTCATGTGAGACCATGTGCATAAATGCTGCATTTTTAACAGTCATCAAAACCTACTTCTGAGTTTTTCTTTCAGGATGGTGACTCATGTCTGAGATTTCACTAGCAGTTCATCAACTGTTCCAGTTACAATAGTATTTCTACTTGTGAGCTGCTGCATCTGTTGGACTCAAAACTCTCACTATTAGCGAAAAACAATTGTGTTGTCAGCCTTGTGACAGACACTCCTCCCCTCTATGCTGTTTGAGATAGATGTTTTTCCATAGTTGGGAATACAATTACTCAAGTACTGAAACAACCCCTTCTCTTTCAAGAGGAAGAGCAGGACATTTAAACATGGTCAGTGGTGTGGAAATGCGAACCTTTTGTTCTGCTGGAGGCAAAGATAGTGAAAGGTCAGCGATTCAACTGCCAGAAAAGTGTTAATGTTGACACTGTTACTACTAAAGTAAGTGTTGAGAAAAGTGTGTGATTTCTTTCCTTTAGAGCTATTGTTTTCTGAGGCCATGGTTCCTCAATAAATCCATACTGCATAATTCTGATGTTCCTCCACACTCCCAGCTGTGTCTTCCCACCCATTTCTTGCACTGGCAATACCTGGTCCCACAGGTGAGATATTTAAGGGAGCTAAGCCAGGAGAAAACTATTCATTTAGGTTTTTAAGTGTTACTTTTCTTGGAAAGTGTTACTGTCTCACTGCTTGATCAGATTTTCTTGGAGCTGCATCCTGAGAAAACATTTTGTTTTTTCTTAGTGTTTCCTATAGGATAATTGAAGCAGGTCAGCGAAAGCTGCAAATCCTGTTTTCAGGCACCGATCTGTGTGCAGTGACACACAGAATTGGCAGCTGTGAATTCTGGTAGATGGTAGGATACCTATTTACTTCCTTTTCAGTAGCTGTATAGTGGGCAAGGAATGATGCCTGTGTTCTCAATCCGTATTTACTTCCTTTTCAGTAGCTGTATAGTAGGCAAGGAATGATGCCTGTTTTCTCAATCCATTAGATTGATTGCTGGTCTAGGGAGATACTTTAATTTTGAGCTTGTTTTGCTTTTAAATGGAAGAGTTGTAAGGACATTGCATTGCTAGCTTTACTTTTTTTTTTTAAGATTCAGTTTGGTTTTTACTTTTTTTTTTTAAGGTGTAGCTGTAGAGATGAGTGAGAGTAGAAGTTATCTGCAAGCACGTTTTGTTCTGTGTTGCTCTCCTGGAGTTGCCAACTAAGATGTCAGAATCGTGGATCAAGGATGTTTTTTTGTCATGTGGCTATTTGGTCACTACAAATTGAATGTAGACTCTTAGCTCCTTTCAGGAAGGTTACTGAGTAATTATTTTGGGTCAGTGCTACATTTTTTTAATTCAAATTGATCAGCTAAGAGTGGGTGGCTCAGTTTCCTTTTATTCATTCATCCGTTCATTCTCTTTGTTAGAGCAGTCAAGCACAAGATCGAATATGGAAGATTGACAGCATAATGTTTGTATATGGTGTTGTTTATCCTTAAGGTTCTGTGTGTTTTCTGTTCTTTAAAGAAAACTGATGCTGTTTCTAGCTTTTTAAGATTCATTCTGAAAAAGTAAATAATAGCGTGAATCACTGTTCCATTTAGCTTCAAACATCTGGGTCATGTAGCAAAATCGTGCTGTCATCTAGTTCTCCTTTTCCTGCCAAAAAAAAAATCTGAAACTGTTAGATGGTAGCATTTTTAATTGATACTTCAAATACAGGAATAATACCACTTGTAGTTTAAACCTTCTTATATTTGAGCGATTGTTTTGCTCATAGTGAAATAAGGTCTGTTGTGTGATACCCAGGCTGCTTGAACTCTTGTGTTTCCAGCAAAACGACTGAGCTGTACTGGTACACTCTACATAAGTTTCCGTAGAAGAAAGTATTTTTAACATATTTCTGTCTGTCTTAAAAACGTAAATAGTCTTATATTTGTATTCCTAGTCTTAGGAATTACTTCTGTTTTGAAGTATGACTATTTTTAGAAACTCCGTGCTGTCAGTTCATGCAGTTTTTGTCATCTTGTGTGGATGCATCTGTAGGAAACACGATCCAGTCTTAGGTCTCAGATTTTGGCACAGAATTAGAGAAAAAAACCTCCACTGAAATAATACGCTCTTTTAACTCCCCAGAGTCTAAGTCAACATTTTCTTCATATTAGCTGTGATACCAGTTTGTTCTTTTATGATCATTTATGTCATGGGATTGGGGGAAATCTGACGCTACGAAAGACTGATAGCTTCTGATTTCATTGTGCTTTACTTGTGAACAGCTCCTAAGTCTGAGGAGGATTAACTGGGATTAACTGGGTTACTGGGAATTGTAACTACGCCTCTCTTTGCAGTTTGTTGAATGTTACGAAACTTATCATAGAATCATACAACCGTTTAGGTTGGAAAAGACCTTTAAGATCGTCAAATCCGACTGTTAAATTTGTTTGTCATTATAGTACTGTATTTCTACTTTGCAGCATTGTTTAACAAAGGTGTTTTAACTCAGAGAATATTTTGGGGAGGATGTTTGTATTTGTGCTGTTATTGTGCTGTTATTGTGATAAAGCTTTTTAAAATCGTATAGACAACATAGTGCTTATGCGTAGTAGAACATGATGTAGCTATATAATGGACTGATATTTCAGAGTATAGGGTCCTAAGCTAGACTAAATCTACTTGTTTCATATTTTTTGATATGTGTCACAACAGGGCAGATTTAGGTTTATTTTTCTATTCTTTAACATAGTTGAATTTGTTTAATTTTCCTCTAGCTGTCAATGTAGCTCTTACTTTGCAGTATTTTATTTAGGAATAGCCTGGGCACCTTGGCTGGGACAAATAATTTTCAGGGAGAATTCTTCATACATGTCTGTTCTTTTCCATACCACTGACTTATTCTAATCATTCCCCACTACAGTAATTAGTTGCAGAGTGAACGTGTTCGTTGGTTAACTCTTTTACAGTGGCTCTGTTTTAACATATGAGTAAGGTCAATAGCTCAGGTATAAGTGCAGCAAAATAATTAATGACTGCTAATTAATTTATTAATATGACTTAATTTCTTCAAGTACATTTGTGTAAAATCTCTGTTAATTATAGCTGAAGAATGAAGAAAGTTCAGATGGGGAAAAGCTTGTCAAAAGTCCATTTTAATTCTAGCTAATTTATGGAATCATTAGTAAATTATCTTAAAATTCATTTCATATTTGGCAAGTGTTACAGGTTTGAGAGAGAGAGGAATAGCATGGTTTGGGGCAGGGGGGCGGTTTGGACATAAATGTCTGGATCATGATTTTAAGAATAAAACTGAATTTGATCGTAACTGAAGTTGCAGCATTATTGCTTGAGAAGCAGTTATTGAGTAAAATTTATCTACCATTTTAACATTTTTATAAATCTTAAATCATAATAATAAAGTATTATGTTTTTGCATAGCCATCTTTTTACATACTTTTCTCAGTGGTTTTTTTTTCTATCTTGTTTTACTTTTAGAATTTTTTTACTTTCATAATTAGAAATAATAGCTTATTATATGTGAGCTAGATTCTGGCTTAAGTATTCCACATGATTAAGCTTGCATTCTGACTTTTCCTTTTACATGAAAAAAAAAGTGCAAAATCTCTGTTGTTCTAGAAGGAAAAAATCCAAACTTGTAATAGATCAGACACAACGAATACTAACTGGGAAACCTTTAAGTAAAAAGTATAATACAGATATGCATTATTTTCTTTTATGGTTTATGGATGTTTGCTGTTTGTCTAATGATTTTCTCTTTTTCTACAGTCAATCAAGAGGAGTTCATTGCTATTATGACTGGAGATATTTAGCATGAGAAGAAAAGAAATTAACTCAGCACAAAAGGGAGGAATCATTGGCAGCTTCCATTACAATGTTTTGTACTTCCATTCATTTCTGTAGCTGGAGTGATGCAGAAAATTACTTTCCTCACAGGACCAAAATAAAGACAGGTTATATGCACTGATAGTTCAGTACTTTGTATCATTAAATATTATCACTAGAATAATTGATATATCATTTTAGAACAAGTAAGTAATGCTGCATTTCAGAATGTTCAAGTACTCATTTGTAAAATAGCTTTGTATAAGATTTCTAAATTGTATCATATTATAAGAACCTTTTGAGGTTGACTTTGTGTTAGCATTAGCTGCGGCCTTAGTTTTGATACATAAGGTTTGACAAACTTCCATTTTAATAAAATGTTCTTTACTATTGCTACTTGAAAGTCTTATTTTTGTAGTTTTAACCTGAACTGGACTATAATGTAAAATCCTTCAGGGAAAATAATTTTTTTTCATTTATAGGTTTGTACTTCCGCTGTTCTAGATGAATGGTAACATTAAATGAGCAAGCATTTGCATCCTCAAAGATGCAATTTATTAACTCTGTATTACCCCTGTGTAATAGCAAAGGGCAGGCAACTATGCATGATGAAAAACTGTATCAGAAATATGCTTAAATCATCTAGATGTCAGCCAGCAACTCTTTCTTCAGTATCTACAGCTCTGATAGCTGCGGACACAATGACAACTGTTTATGGTGGGTAGGTGCTTTTTCTGCAGTATCTACTTAGAAGAAAAGCATCACAGGGAACGAACTTTTAAAGTAATTGAAGAGACTGGATGTATTTCTAGTTTTTGCCAGGTGTCTTCCAGAAGAGTTCCTGTGTGTTGATCTTCCAGATTTCCTGTATGTTAGTTGTAGTTTCTGCTTTTTAAATTTCGCTCTCCTTATATATCAAAAAACATAACTTCAAATCTTGGTTAATCCTGTGTTCATCTTTATTGTCAGAAAAGCAGCTGCTTTTTAACTGTCAGTAATCCTGGGGTTATGAACAGGTTTGCCCTGCACAAACAGTCAGTGCTTGGAATTTATTGAAGACAGAAGTTAAGGTCATCAAAGTTAATAGATTTTTCCTGTTATTTTCCAAGTGTGTATTGTAACATTCTTATCTGTGAAATACCGTGTTGCTCTCTATTAAGCCATCAATACCAGTCCATTCGTACAGAAGGTTATAGCAATTCAAAGTGACTAGCAGTGGCTCCATATAACTGATGAAGTATTATGAAGAGACACCTCATGTAGAGCCCCAGTGGCGTATGTGGCCATCGGCTGGGATTTCTGTGCTGGATCACTCTCATTGAGAGAGAGATGTCTTTCCCACAGCCTTTGCGAGGAAAGGACATTCTTTCTGTTGAGATATTTTCATTTTGATTTTTTTCAAAGTTAATTCTGAAAATACAATGGGGAAAATGGTAGGGATAAAATTAATATGGAATTTGTGGGAGTGAAGGAGTAATTGGTATTTGCCAGGAATTTGCAGTCATCTTAATGTTCAGTTAATGTCTCAGTCATAAAGTTTGAGTAAAAATTCCTCTGTGCTATATCGGAGGTGGATTTAATAAGTAGATTCTTGCTCAGAAAGTAGACAGCATGAAATACTTGCAGGATGAAGATTGGTGTTTGTGGGGAAAAATTCTTCTATATATAGTATGGGCATTTTTTTTCTTTTGTATTAATTTCAGTATAATAGTTGAGAAAAGGGGAAAAATAAAGAGTTGAAGGATTCTACCATCTTCTATACATAGTATGGACATACTTTATTTCTTTTGTATTAATTTCAGTATAATAGTTGGGAAAGGGGAAAAAATAAGAGTTGAAGGATTCTACCATGCAGGAAAAAATCTTGTTTGGGAATAAATACAGCAAACTTCTTAAAAGTCAAGTAAAATGCTTTAGAATCCAATAGCAAAAAACCCCACATAAAATACAAAACTTATTTTAAAAACACCTACCATTAAAAAAAAAAAACAAAAAACAAAAAAAAACCCACACCAAAAAACAAACAAACAAACAAAACCCACAAAAAACAACCCAACTTTTAATCAGTATTTTGCAATCTTAGCGTATTTGTTTGGGAGGTGAATATTTAGGGGAAAAGATTCCGTGTTTGGGACTGAGCCTTAACAAGTATTTTCTAAGAACAGTATGGGTATTGTCCACTTCAGTAGCTTCTGGCTTTGCTTTTAATTTCTTAAGTAAGCTATTCCAGGGGCATTTTTATTTTCTGCAGACAGTGAAAGCGATAGAGAACTTAAAAGGTCCCTTAGCAGTCATCAAAAAACTTTTTCCCCAAGAATCACACCCTTATTCTGAATGTGCCAGATTTCTAATACTCCGCTGTGGCTGTTCAGCGACTGGCTTTTACGGGGATGTTACTGTTCTGTTCCTCCTTAGATGGCTGGTAATTATTTCTTGATAGGTGTCACTTTCTGTTTGTAACTCTTCCAGCAAGATGCACTTTGTCTCTTCTGGATTGAGGCCTTATTTTTAGCTTTTGCAATGTACTTGAAAAACCTTACTTGCAGACGTGGCAGCGCTTGTTGTGGGCTAGATAACAATAGTGCAATGCTCCATAAGCACAGGCCAGTGGACTGGAGAGGTCTTGCAAGTTGCTGAGACTGTGGGAGTGGCACAGGAAAAAAAAAAGAAAAAAGAAACCATCAGCATAGTAGCATGGTATTTAATGATACTGTCTCAATGTTTGGCTTTGCTTTTTCTCTGCGTTCTTTGTTTGGGAGATTTTTGCATTGCAAAACCGTGCTTGTTTTGTGCTGCTGAATGGTGAGCTTCTTGCTGTTTTGTGTATTGGGGGTGTTGCAACTTCTGTTGGCTTTTGATATTCACCGACCAGCAGTAACTGTGATAGATTGGAGTCCACAGCTTGGTAAGATCTAAACTCTGAACTTGAAACTGTCTGCTTGGCCCCAGCGTCAACTCTCTGTTTTGTGGGGCTGACACCTATCCTAGTGCTTTTTGGTAGTTCACTTGGTGCATCATAGGAGACACATTCTCAGTTTTTGTCTTTTCATTCTGTCTGATATCAGAGGAGGCAGAGGGTAATTTGGTGGCACATTTAAATCTTGACTGTTGTAGAATAGTATCAAGGTTCAACAGGCATAATTCCATATTTAAAAGCAGCACTTGCAAAAGTGGGTTAGTGTTAAAATACTGATCTGTAGTACCTGGGAGAAATTCTTCTGTTGCCTCTGCTATGGAGGGCTGTGATATCTGGTAGAAGTCCAGAAATGGCATCTAAGGGAATGTCATAATCCATTGGCGCTTCTCTTTAAGAGCTTGCAGTAACAACAGTTTAACTGTGCCAACTAGTCCGTCACTTCCCTAATCAATCCCATGCGACTTTGAGGAAATCGAGAACCTCCAAACGAATAAAAATACCGTGTTGGAGTGCACTGTATACCAAATGTTACTCTGCTGACTTATTTTAGAACAGTCTTTTCAATACTAAGTTTGTCACGTCAAATATTTTTGGTTTGTGTGTATTCATGGGAAAGTTTCCGTGGCACAGTTAAGTCATCAAAAGTCAGAAAATGCCAATGTTAACGTTACATATGCCTCATCATGTGGAGGCTCTGCCTGAGTTCAGAAACACCTCCGTAGCGCTCTGGTGATGTGGCTGTCTTCACCACATGCAGCAGAGCCTTGCTCAACTGTGCCCTTGGAGCTCAGCAAGGAGGAAAAGGAAAACCACGACAACTTGGCTGGCAACGGAGTGGAGGCCAAAGAGGCAGTTTGCAAAGGGGGGGATGAGCAGAGGCACTGGGAAGAGACCCAGCTGGCCCCGAGCTCGGAGCAGAAGGACAGGGGGTCCGTGCTGAGCCACAGCAAGAGGAACGGCAGCCCGAAGGGGAGGGCGTCTGGGTCGATGTTGATCTCTCTGCCCCTGGGATCCCCTCAAGTTCATAGTATAGCTCGTGGGTACATCTTCACTTCCTGCACCCTGAATGCAGCTCAGGAAAACACTTGAGACTGGCATTGTAGGAGGTGATGTGTGGTGGTTATGGCATGAAGCTGAGCACGGAGCAATCCTTCAACTTTTAAACTTCTGTCCTCAGCAAGTTTTGCAGGCTACGTGGAGTTCTGGGATGTCGCAGCTTAGTAAACTTTGTTAGCAGAGGTTTTTATCACAAATTACACATGAACAGAGGATAAGGACAGTTGCACTAAATCCAGTTGTCCCGCTTGTAGTTGTTCATAACCCCTGACATAGTTGGAGTCTTTTTGTCAAGTCGGATCTGATGGATGTGCTGCTCGCATAAGCAACCCTTTACTTGTTTTTGTCAAACTGGGTCCTACTATTAAGCAGGTAACTGCAACTTCCCTTGCTGCATACAGAACCATATCTGAAGTGAGAGCTGCATTTTCCTTTCCATTAGGTCAAGAGTTTGTAGAAGATAGTGGCTGGCACTAGCAAAACTTTTGCAGAAGTCATTCTCTGTAGTGCCTTTGCAGAGGGATAATTGCTGCTCAAGTAAGTCTATAGGGATGCTGAGAATGTTTTCATCCTTGAGTAACAAAAGAAAAATGATTCCACGGAGGAAAAAAGAGGTCAGTGTTTTGAGCACTTCTACCTTTCCTTAGGTACACCGAGGGAAAATCTGGACAAATCCATTCGGACAGTCCCACTAAGATGTCACACACATTAACAGAAAATCAGTAGAAACACCATAAACATCTAAAGAATCTGCAAGTATCTTCTATGATAGCGCAAATGGTTCATCGGCTGTAAAACTGTTGCTAAGCAAACTGAACATGTTGGCAATTACCAGCAGTCAGAAGTGATAGCTCTCAGAATATATAATAAGTGGGAATTTTCCATATGTAGGTCTTTTTGAAATGACATAGGAATGTTTAGCCAGTGGAGGTTGTGTTTGCCACTTTTTAGCCCTTAGTATTTTGAACGCTACTCCACTTATAAAGGAATACTTAAAGGAATTCCAAAGGAATAAATAAATAAATAAATTTAAAGGAATATTCCTTTGAAATATTCCTCTTAAAGGAATAAAGAATGGGCTTAGCAGGAAAGAGCTACTTTACTAAGAGAGATCCATTTAGAGCTAGGTAGCTGGACAACACTTCATAAATAAGATTGCCTAGAATGTTTTGCAGAAATGCTTGTTATAACATCTGGATAAACTTTTTTTTATTGCAGAGCTTAATTATGAATACATTATTATAATTTCATGAAATGAAATTCTGAAAGGGTCTTGTCTTTTTTTGTGAAGAAGTGACCTTGAAGTTTGGCTGACAAGTCTGCTTTATTGGTGTGAATAGAATTTTGACAATTTGTGTTGTCAGAAACCTGCAGTAATTTGCACCAAGTTCTGTAACCTTTTCTTGCTTGAAAGGCTTTCCCA